GATAGATACCTAATTTCAAATATGAGGCTTTATTATTGATCGCATCCGGTGAGTATGCTTGAAGATGTTCGTGTACCATTTATTTCGACAACCCCATGCTCTCAAATCATACGCCTGACACAATCGTCCAAGGTCGAAGAGAAAACAGCTCAAATTATTGACATTACTGTTCCACTGGAAGAGTGGGCTGAAAAAATTTGAAAACACTTAGATCCGGATATGGATCTGAAGCTTTTGTATCAGTTCAAAACTGCGAACATTGTCAATAACCATTTTTGCAAATTGCTCCATTCAAAAATCAACGAAGTCCAGCTGGGACAACCTGAAAATCACGGAAATGCTACCGAAGGAGTGTTAGAAATCTGCTGTTTAAAGTACCTCGGTGATAGTGCCAACAGTTTTGTCTAAAACAAATTTGTTCTATGCCACGCCTACCTGACAACGTTAAGTCTTCGGCATCCGGCAAAATAATCACTATCTGAAAGAAGACGAAATAAATAATAATTGAATTTATGCTTAATACAAATCACATAAGTTTAATATCAATTACTGAATACATACAGTCATGACCCCTGTCTTTAGGTGGGTAACGGCGGCTGTCAACATAACTGCGTGGATACCGAACAGGGAACAACGTGTGCCTGTCACGCAGACTACATTCTTAGTCGTGACGGTCGTTCGTGTCTAGGTACTTTCGATTTTCTTCTCTAATTTCAATAGTCCATCTGGAAAATAACCATCCCTAGTGACTTGTGCGGTAGAAAACGGCGGCTGTGAACGGATCTGTGAAGACCGGCCGAACGGAGTCAAATGTTTGTGTCCCAACGGCTTTAAACTCAACAGCGACAACACCTCCTGTGCAGGTTGTTCGTTTGTCGTCGTCGTGATGAACTGCTCTGTCCTCTAACCGGTCGTTTTTGCTTTCAGATATCAATGAGTGCCAGATTAACAACGGAGGTTGTGAGTACCAGTGCGTGAACCTGCTCGGCACATTCGAATGCGTCTGTCCGGCGGGGTACATGCTGAAATTGGACGAACGTTCGTGTCAAGATATCGACGAGTGCGCCGACAGAAGCATGTGCGACCACGTCTGCATCAACACACCCGGAAGTTACCAATGCCAGTGCAGAGAGGGCTACTATCTGCACGGATTGTACCATTGTGCAGGTATGCTAAAGATATATGTTCATGCTGCTAATTTTCTGAAGTGGTAAGATTATTCCTCCCGATTGATAGCAATAATGAAAATGTCATAGTAATGCCAAATCAGCGCATTAGTAAATGAATAAGTAAAAATGTTAATAAATTCAGGAATGACTGAATGAATGATTAAATGAATGGACGAGTAAGTGAATGAATCAGTGAATCAATTGAGAAACGAACAAACGTATGAATAAGTGAATAAATAAATGACTGAGTGATTAGGTAAATGAATAAATGAACTGGGTTTCACCGAGTATCTACGTCACAGAGGCATTTAAAAGACAAAAATTAATTTAACTTATGTATTCATAAAACTCGTTCTTTAGACATAAACGAATGTTCCATAAACAACGGTGGTTGCCAACATCTGTGTACCAACACGGAAGGCGGCTACTATTGCTCCTGTCCCCCTGGTCACGTGCTACACGAGAACGGAAGGGACTGCACGAGTAAGTGTCCGAAGCGACGATCTACCAGTGGGTACGTGGGTTTTGTACACTTCAGGCGTGAACAAATGCTTTGCCGAAACGGACAGTGGTCACTCGGAAATTCAAGCGGTCAGCGTCAGACGTTACGCGACGGTAACCGAGATTGACTGCGATGGAACCGGCATCGTTTCGTCCAGAAGCGGTCAGAAATTCAAGTTCTTCTGCAGCGAACCAGAGCCCTCGAGGCAATGTAACACAGGGGACTCAACGACGCGCCAGTTCGAGATTTCCATAATGGTTCCGAAATGTGAGGTTTCCACCTCGCTGTCGGCAAAGCTCAACCGAACTGCGGCGGCCATGCTTCGCATGCCAGGTGAGCACCTTCAGACGGAACGATGACAAATGTCCATGCCGAATCTGAAGTAATTGCGACGTATTTCTAGACACGAACGCGACGTGTGACGACTACATGACGTTTTGTCACTTTGAGGTACAATGCGAGTCCGAATCCTCGCCTTCGCCGAGTGACGAGGGCTCATTTCCGGCGATCCTGACGCTCCGCGGCAAGTTGCTCTCCGGTAAGTGCTCCTAGCCCCCTTGCCATTGCCATTGCCATTGTTTTGACGAACGACATTTTAGAACAATCACTCGGAACGCCGTACTACTTTCTACGAATCATGAGCGAGAGTTTCGCTGAAACCACCTTAAAAATAAGGTAGCTTTTGTGGCTGAAACTTCGATTGAAGGATTATAACAAAATACGTGGTGATGAACACGAAAGATGTTACTGTTTTCTTCACTGATTATATGACCTGTGAATTTCTGAATTTTGAACGATAGTATCGGCTATGGAAACATAAGAGAGTTTCATTCGAATGTGAGCGTTTGCATGTGAAATAAGGCCCTTGCTATCTGAGGATAACTCTGCTCTGTATGGCAAATGCTTAAAAAGAAGTTTAAATTGTTTATTCATGAATTTATAAAATAATTGCTTGGTTATCATTCTCATGATAACTTATTCATTATTTTCATAGTCAAAAGAATCAGCTAGACTAATAAATCCGCTAGGCTGCACGTCGGCGATAAATGCAGATGTACAAGATGCTTTGAAGATTGACCTTGGCCTTATATCCGAAACTACGTATTCAGAACATTAATCATTATAAAGTGCGTGATGTAGAATCAAGATGAATTTTCGAAATCATAGTTTATTCGCTTAAGCTGACTTCAAGAGCGTACCAACTTTAATCTGTATATAGAAACCGTGGTTGCTCAGTTGGTAGGGCGTTTAACGCAGAACCGAGAGGTTTCGAGTTCGAGCTCAGGTGAGGGACACTCGGCTATCTTCATTCTGAGGCTAATAAGTGAGCGCCATACTGTGAGAAGGAAACAGGAGATTGCACATTAAGGTTTGCCACACAACTGTCGCTGGTTCTGCCTTTAAAATAGGAAAAGGAAACGAAAGTTTGCAACCGTGGGAATGTCATTCCTTCATTTTCATAATTGGGCTATTCTGAAGCCTTTCTGTTTACGACGCTGATGGTACGGTGTTAATCTCTGTTTCTATGCCATCGGCCAGGAGTGCCTTATATTTTTAAGGCAGAGTCTACAGCCATGTGGAAGGCGTAATGCGTAATCTCCTGTTTCCTCCATACAGAGCGAATCTTACTCTTCAATTTCAGAAGGAAGAAAGGCGAGTGCCCAAACCGGGGCTCGAACTCGAAACCTATTGGTTCTGAGTTCGACGATGTACTGATTTAACAATCCCGGTTTGAAGGAACGTGTGGCAAATTCCGTGCACAATGTAATTCGTGAACACCTCCGGAGATCGCAGCAGACCTCTGAGGAGTGGTTCCATCTTCGTGGTTTTAAAAAACGGCATTTCTGGCCGATGAAATGGAACTGGAGATCAGCTCCCCACTATTACCATCCTGAAGGAACAAAGGCCAGAAAGTATTACGAAGACTGATATTCCGACGGTTTTCGTTCACTTGGTAGTTCATATTGGCTTTAAAATTATGTTTTTGAATTATATGAGGAAAAAACATGCAAATAATATAAAACGAGCAGGGAGAAGCAGATCCTCCGCCAAAAAACTGGGTC